CTTCCACCTCAGCACTGCTGGACTCGGGGTTTCCCACTGCCCCACTGCAGGGGCACATATACAAGCATCGGCTGCATCCTATAGTTCAGAATTCTAACACTTGGTGTTTCCCAGCTACCCTGAAACACAGCCTTCAGCGGGCCACTTCAGTGTCCTGTAACTCCAGCTTCTGGCTAAAAGAACACATGACGTAGCATCACGCTGTGTGGGTCTAACCACACTCACATTTCTGTGGCTATACCATCAAATATTTAATGAGAAGCAAGATTGCAAACAGGGCATTCATGAGTCCGTGCCTGCCATGGTCAGGGAAGGCAAACCCACCTGCAGATTAAGTACCTAAAAGTACTGTTCCCTCCATGGTGGAGGCTTTCAATTTAGCCAGTCTGCCATCTGGATAGCAGGTTTCTGTGGTGAATGGGGACATATCAGGAACTTTAAATCAGTTTTGATGAGAGGAAGGCCATGTTATGTCCATTTACAACCTGTAGCTCAGTACCATGGACAGTCTGTGTATGAGCAATTGAGCACAAAGCAAAGAGAATGCCTGGCATCTTCAAAACAGAGCATCATGTCCAATATTCACAGCCAGTGGTCTCCTCTGCTAGACCAGATCATCTTCCCATCCTGTGCTTACTGTTAAATCGCCACCCACATGTCCCTCCCACGTGGATACCTACTTCCAATCTTCCAGCCTTGCTCTTACCATTTTCCTGAGCATCCAGGCAAACCACCAATCCCGTGCATAGGTATGGGGCCGTAGTTCTAGACCTCTGTCTCCATCTTGGAAAAGTGGACCCCTTCTGAGAGGTACTGCTTAGAATTCCCTCTTCTAGAAGCATCTGCCTCCTACAATGCCTACCAGGGAATTTCTTCAGGGCTACAACCATCCACTTCCACTTGGTGTCAGGCCAGAGTTCCTCTTCCTCCATCAACTGACCACAGGAATGAATCCACCGTGAGAACTCAGGGGTAGGATGAGGCAGAGGCAGCAACACTGTAAAACAGCTGGCACTCCTGACGCCGTCTCACGCTCTCTTGACGAGGCAGTGTTGCTGGGTGAGCAGGCCTGGAAGGGTCGATTGAGAGCAGCTGACACCGGTTCATGACCAAGTGCTTGGGTTGCAGTTACTCGGTGTCTCATGGAGAGGAGTGCAGTCTCTTCTAGGGCCCGGTGGCCTGCCAGAAGCTACTTCTCAAAAGGATAATTCTTATCTGCAGAGGGGGCTGTGACCTTGTGCCAAAGTGATAGCGGGACACAGACATTTTTCCCACTCAGTTCTTCTGGGAGTGTCGTAGTGCGTGCCTACCTCCAAGACAACTTAAAGATCATTGGACCTGCGGGGTCATGAGGCGAAGCTCGGCTGGCAGAGCATCTTGAGCTGCAACCTGAATCTGCTCTGGGACCCATTCAAAACTGGCAGTGCTGTGGCCACTCAGTAAGCATTGGCAGCGCACACGAGTGGGTATGGGCTGCCTTCCAGATCCCAAACTAGGCACAACTCTTTCTTGTTCTTAGCAGTGAGAACGGGGACTGACTTTTCACTTGGGGGGGAGGGAGCTCTGGAAAGAATATGCTAACCATTTCACTTCCAGAGGGAAGGCAAAGATGACCATTTGGGGAGCCCGAGGATTCAGACCGGAGAGGACACTATGTGTGAGCCCCCTCTATGTGCTGGAGGAGGAGGAGGGCAGAGAAGCAGTGTGCTGTGGGCTCGGGATCTCTGGCCAGAGGATAAGGAGAAGAGTCACCACAAACGTGCCCAGAACACACCCGAGGCCACACTTTAGAAATAAGACCTAGTCCTCAGCCCCCGGGAGCTGCAGAAGAGCACAGTATGTAGGATTCTGGGGCAGTCGGGGAAGCTGCTGTGGCCAGCGCTGGATCTTTGAAGGCTTTGCCTTTCCTGTTGGGACAGAAGTGCTGAGTCATTGGCAGGAGCAGGAGTGTGGTGTTCGCTTTAATTATCAGCTTGGCACAACCTAGAGTCACGGGAAGAGTCTCAGTGAAGGACTGTCAGGCTGTGGCATGTCTGTGGGGGACTGTCCTTTTTCTTTTTTTCCTTATGTGTCTGGGTGTTTTGCATGCATGTCTGTCTGTGCACCACATGCTTGCCTGGCGCTGGCAGAGGCCAGAAGAGGGCATCACATCCTTCGGAACTGGCATCACAGACTGTCGTGAGCCACCACGTGGGTGCTGGGAGGAGATGGAGGATGTTGAGTTGTGAGGGTGAGTTCTCAGGTGTTCTAACAGGAAGTACATAACCCCAGGGACTCAGGCGAGAACAAGACCCCCACCAGCAAGATGAGTGGAGACTTCTGGGAAGTCCCTCCTCCACAGCCTCATTCTGCCCACACTGTTGCTCTGCCTTCCACTTGCATGGCCTGAATCTGTATAGTCAAAACTCAGTCCCGGGGCTGGAGGCCTAGCTCAGCATGGCCCTGAGTTCTACCCCACAGGCCCCCAAAACTCAGTCACAGGGAGGAACTAGAGTTCGATTCCCTGGCAGTCAGACCGATAGCCCGGGGGTGTCTTTCACCTATGCCTAGATGAAAAGGGTGGCGAACTTCCAAGGCAGCCAGCTTTTTCCTCACCCTCTGACCTGAAACAAAAGCCTGGCA